TCTTTGCCGCTCACTCAGCAAAAAAAAAATGTAAAAAAAAAGGGATTTTGAAAGAGTAGGTTTCTGATATTGAAGTATAGTACAATTGATTAATATACACAAAATGAACTGAAGCGTCTTTCAAACAAAGTGCAGTAGTTTTGAATGTTAAACTACAAAACAGACATGCATTTTGATTAATGATGTACTTGAAAATGATATTGAACTCTGGTAACCAAAACATAAATTGCTCTTCAAAGCTGAATCTCCCACTGAGCTATGTGATCTATTCCAGAACTCCCTGATAATCAGGATCTTGCTGCCATGACATGACAAGACCCTAAGTACCATCTTTCTACTTCTACTACTGAGAATGTGGCAACCAAACATTTCAGCGCAAGCTGATGAGCGATACCATTTAATGAGGCTGTATTAAAAAATTCTATTGTGTACCTAATTTGTGTAAACTCATATGAAATATGCCTTTCATTGTACAGTACAGTAGGTGCTTAGCAGGCGTTCAGACTGAGTGCAGTAAAACGCTACTGTGTGTTTGTGCACGAGGCTGCGTGGGGGGGGTTTGGGGCGAGAAGTTGCAGGAAGCGTTTTGTTTTTTTAACAACAGCATACCAATTTCATACCCAAATGACAGTAAACTAGAGAAAAAAAAACAAACAAACAGAAAGTAGATAACTAATTCAACTGAAACAGACATAAAAATAAAGTTAATTAAAAACAAACATTATACACTACACATTAATGATACCTTGACAAAGGTGTAAAGGCAATGAGGTCATGGTTATTTAGATAAGCTGCTGAATTAAACTAAAGGCTTGTTGGCATTTCTTATCATTTATAAGTTTGATATATTCAATGTAGTTTCGTAATTCAATGACAAATAATTCAAAACATGAGAGATTCCTGGCAAATTTAGACTTGTGGATATGAAATTTCCCCAATAAAAGGATTAAGTTAATAAGTCATTGTATTTTGTGGTTGTTATAGCATAAGATAACCTTTTTGGCATCCATATTATTTGTCTAATTACTATGAGTAGCCTCCAGCTTGGCCCACAATGCTTTGGAGTAAGAGCACTCATAAAATAAAATGTTGCATTGAGTCCTCTTCAACTTTACAAAAACGGCAAAGCTTACTGATATTTTCAAATCGTGACATGTAATAAATACTGTGCAGAATTTTAAATTGCATTTCTCTAACTTTACTGTTTCTTTCCACTGGATATGAAACAAAGTTTTCCATGTGGAGCAATTTTCCTTTTTAATAATTCCTTATACAGTACGTCTACATATTTGATACCTTTAATAAAAATTCCAATTACTAATAAAGTATATTCCAGTTTTTTTCATTTCTTGCCGTTCAAAGTGACTTTTTAATTATTGGATGACTGGCCACCTTCTGCTGAACTGATGTGAGTGGTTTCATTCAACTTTTTTTCCAGCAAGTTTCTGTTGTTTTTGCTAATGTGCATGCTACTAATGTAGCTTACACTATCACCAGCATCTGCACTGATTTAAAACAAAAAACAAACACTGTTTAACATCCAATACCCTAACTAATGAAAACTCATGTGTCATTATGGTGCGTTTGTAAATGTGGCCCAAATTCAAGAGTGAACAGCAGTAAAGGCTCATGCCAACAAAGTCTTCCTCCCGTGGGCGTCTACATTCAGACCACCCGCTACATAATGGGGTGCTTTTACTGGATGATGTCCCCATGAGCCATAGAAAAGGTTGAACCAGATTCGGTTTTTTGCCACACAGGGTTGCATTGTTTGCTGGAGCCCACTGCGGTGAACACAATCCTCATAGAGACAAAACCAGGTTTCTCATTTACATGACTGTTAAGAAATCAGATAGTGTGAGACCAGGGGGCCTGACGAGTTTTTGCAAGTGTGAAATCAACTGAGCAGTTATGGCATAATTTAAGGAAATGAACGGGCTTGGCTTTAGAAGAATTTGGTTTCTGTTACTTTTCCATCTCAGCCGTGCTTAGTTTAAACGACATAAAATTGTACATCTAGCTAGGTTTTTGTTCTTCATGTGTGTAGCATCAGGGCACTGTTTCAGTCATGTATGCTGACTGAAGTGTGACCTCGCATCTGCCACTTCATTTGTGTAGAAAGCTAAATTTACAACTGTTTTTGTCCTCAAATGGCTGAAAATTAAAAGTGGGCAGACACTGATCTGTCTTTATATTTTGCTATATTTTCACAAATACCTCCCCCTCCCACTCTATGGTGTTTGCAGCAGAGGATCGTCAGTTTCCAGCTGAGCGAGCTGCCTGCGCAGGCTGTTCACTTTGTTCTGAAGTTCCTTGTTGTATTCAATGATATGTACCATTTCCTCGTAGGCGTCATCCAACCACTTAGAGGAGCGGTTCCAACGAAGGAACACTCCTGTAATGAAAGAAGACGGCAACAATAAGTAACCAGCAAAGAACAAAACACTACAAAGAAGCGTTCTTTCTTATTCCAGCACAACAATGGTCAAGTGTGCAGTTACTGTGCATGCATGTAAAAGTATGGAGCTTTCATAGACATTTAAAAGAATATATTAACTTGGTTATTTGCAAAAAACAGGGAGAATAGTAAGAGGATAAATTGTCCCAGCAAAATGGCTCTTTGAGTAGTGAAGCTGAACTAATTTGAGCTGTGTTAGAAAAGAGAGCACTGACTGTGTGAACTAGCAGCAAAACCTTGCTCTTATAAGCTATTTTTGTTAGCCTCTTCAGGCTCTTTTAAACCAGGAACTCACAAAGATGAAGTAGACCACTTGGATATATAAAAAAATAACCGTGCTGGTTTATTCAAGGAATCACAGGTAAAATAAACATTACACGTCCAGATCTCTTCCACCCCCCAAACCAGCACGCAGGCAGCATGGAGTATGAAAGACCCTGAACCGATAAATGGCTATACAATTTAACCACTTGGTTGGGCTAGCCCCATACTACACAGGCAACGTCAAACCGTGGCGTCACCCGATATGCCAGCTTTACAGCTGACCATAACAATAGCCAAAACATGAAGAAAATCAATGTGTGTGTGGCTGTTGATTAGTGGTGTGTATCTAAGAACATTTTGACATGACATTACCCATAAGAAAATATTATGATTACCATTACAGTTACACATATCATCATAATAGAAATAACCTCCTGCCTGCAGACTTCTCTATCTAGTTGTCCTTGGCCCTAATGCAGCCTGCAAAACACTCATGAGAATGACTAAGCATGTAACAGCCTGAGCTAGACAGCCTGGCTACACTAAACATTACTAATACAACAAATGTCTAACAAATATCTATCTGACTAGAAATGACCTAACACTCTCATAAACTTGGACTTTGACAGTGGCTAGGGGGAATTTAGCAGAGGAACCTGTATGTCTGACATACTGGAAAGACAAGTGTGACAACAAAGAAGCGCTGGAATGTACAACATAGTGAAGAGGTCACTTGTTAGCCAAACAGAAATGACCTGAGCATTTTCACAACAAAGCTTTTCACTCATCTCACTCATTACTGGCATCTCAGTTATGATGTCATGTTAGGTATTTATTTTTGGGTAAAAAACAGTTTTAATGCACTTAGGAAAAGTAGGAAAGTTTATTCAACTTCGTGTTGGAATTAAAAAAAAAACACACACAAATACAGCTCCTATCTAGTTGAAGCACAGCAAGTGTGCCCTCAGAAATTTTAAAAGTATGGGTTTGGAATTCTATAAAGACTTGATACCTTGGTTTCTATTAGTGTGAACATCAAGAGCTACAGATCTGGGCTTCCATGGGATCTTTAAGTTGGAGAATGTGTTATTCTGTAAGAAAAAGGTGTGCAAGCAGGATGCCTGTTGCATTCCACATACAGTACTGTCATACAACACCAGGGTGTGGCCGTAAGAGTATGTTCACACACATGCACAGATAGAAAGTGTAGTTGGCGGTATCTGGTCTCTCATGAATCTGAATCTGTACCTCTTGGGGTACGTTGTGTTGAACAAGCAATTTAGATACTCTGCTCCGACTTTACATTTGCCTGCAGGACACATGAGCTGATGAGCTTTTCCTCAATTTTGGTCAAAGTTAAAACAGGTTCAAATTCCTTTCCACAGTAAAATGGAGAACTAAGCAACTCAGTGCTTCTGTTTTAGCTGCGGTCGAGGCTGTTGCTTGCACTGTGCCAGAGAATATCCGCATAAAGTAGAGCCCTTCTCAATTTTCCCTCCCCTGTAGTTTATCAGGACACTGGAGAGGTGGGGGTGGGAGCTGCGAAGCTAGGTCTCATTCACAATGAGCAGGAGCTGTCACTGTCCCATTGAATCTTTATGTGCGAACAATGCCATAAGGCTTTAGGCAAGAATCCCCTCATCACTGACAAAGAAGGTGTGAACCTAATGACCCCTCATCTATCTAAACCCTCCTCCTGCCTTTTCATATACATCTGTGCAGATTCTCAGTCATCCAGGTCATAATAAACCGCAACCGAAATAACCTTGGAAATCAACTGGACTTGGATTTCAAGATCGAAGACGTTTCACCTCTCATCCAAGAGGCTTCATCAGTTCTGACTGACTGGTATTTCGGTTGCGCCTTTTCATATAGAAAAAAGGGGGAGTACTTGACAGGACGCTCAGCATGTTTTCAAGATTCAGCACGTACATACGAGCGAAGATTTGGAATTTTTTTGCCGTTAACATGACTGATTCCATGATTGCTGAATGAACTCTATTTTTATTTAAAACTATTTCCAAGAAAGAAAGAAAAACAGCCATCATTCATTTTGCGCTTTCCACAAACTTTCTACATTCCAAACCAAGCTCTTTAAAATATCGTTTAGAAAGTGAGATGAGCTAAATTGTACTTACAGTATTTGATATGTTTGCATTTAATGACATCATTTCAGATCCCAGAATTTATGAAACGCTAGAAAATGTATTTCAACCAGCAGTAACTTAAGGTGGCATCTAACCAACTCCAAATAGTACTACATTTTCAAAGCCCACAAATCAGAAGGCAACTATCTGAAACCTTTAGAGAGCATCTCTGCTTATCAAAGACGGCGGTCAGTGTCACACTGTTGCAGGATTTTTACCCAAAGGCACCTCAAAGCAGGGTGCTGACAGAGAAGAGAGCACTATGCATTCAACTCATTCACACAAATTCTCTTAAGCATCATGGAAACATGACTGTCGCACTCCTTGCTTTGTTTTCTACTTAGAAAATGAAAAGCTTATTCAAAGTATCAGTGCCTTAATGACAAGCATTAAGTGTACCACAGGAATAATATCGGGGGGGTCTGTTGCCACTGCAGAAACCTTCTGTGCTACCTATGATAAAGCAAACCCACTGGCCAAATGCATCACTGATGTGTATGAGAAGCAACCAGAACAATTTTTAACATGTAAAGGTGCTGAGAGCCAAATGATGGGAAAAATATCATATGAGAGAAAGAGCTTCATGAAGCATGTTGAGGCAGGTTATCAGAGGTGGGCAGTCACTACTGAGAGGTTAGAAAATGCAGGAAGATTGATTTACAAAGTATTCCAGATCAAACCAAGTATTTACTGACTATTCTCTTGATTAATCATCGAATAATTTATTCTATGTTAAAAAGGGAAAAAATTAAAACCTGCAACTAGGGATTTTTTGCATTTTAGTTTGAAAAATATTTTTAAAAATTCATCAATTAATCAACTCACTTGCTTTGGCTCCCTCCATTAAGTGTTTATCTTTACAGAGGCTGGAGTTCTGAGCACATACAAGGTTACATGTTGGGTCAGCAGGTCATGTAACTTGACAAGGGGGAAATAGAGGCGTGCTATGTTGTTTATTATATCTCAAATTGTTTGCTGTTGCTATGCCAAATTTCCCTTTAAGCTAGCAGGTATGCATGCCTGAAAGTCTTTATGTAACTCTGAGTCTACAGGGCCAACTGTAAATGGGGATCAAATAAACATGATACAGCATTTACTAGTAGCTCACAGGGTCAATCAGTTTATTAATGGTGCATTTTGTGCAATGCTGCCCCCTTCCAGTGAGATTTAAGAATGTCCGAGTGACAGTGTAATCACAGACAATAAACAGCTTATGGAGGCACACCTGTGTCTGACCTGTGAATTTAATTTGAACAATATACAACTGTCTTGGTGTGACTTTGAGGAATGCCTTTATAATTAACATGGAACCCATAACCTTAATTTGTTATCCGTTCCAACACAAACTTGCATTTCAGTGCTGTTAAGACTGCTGCTAATAGTTTATGCCGTAAACCTATGTATGTATTTTCATTTAGGTTTGCTCATCTATTCTATCTGCGACTGGTTTCTTACCTTCCCATAGCAGCAAACTCTGAGGGGCCACGGAGGGCCAGATCACAAGGCTGTTGGGTTCATAGAGGGGGTTGGTCAAGCGTTCCAACTCCTGGGGCCGATTCACCCATGACCAAAGGGAGACAGTCTTCTCAGTCAGAGATAGTTTGGCTCTATGAAAAGGTTAACCAATAAGAACAGTGGCTGCTTAAAGTTTGTAACAGTAAGCTTGTAACCTGCACAATGACAGCTCTATGAATGCAAGGAAAATCAAATTGGAGATGTTCTCATTTCCCTTAAAATCCAGGTGAAACCAAATCATTATTACATAGCTCACACATGACAAGCTAGTAGACACTCTCAGCCAACTGCAGACTAACCTCTCAGCTGCACTGTTGCCCAGGAAAGTAGCAAACTGAGAAGCATAGGCATGTTCAAAGAGCAGCACCAGGAAGCTCTCGGTGAATTCAAACGAGCATGGAAACTGACGAAGGATCTGCCACACACAGTCCAAGAAGAGCAGAAATACAGGAGCCTCTTGTCGAGGCTTGCTGTTAGAGTAAGCTGACTGGGCGCAGCGTTGCTGGAATGGGTGACCTGCCTGGGTAGGTGGTCAAAGAAGTGAGATGATTATGATTATGCCAAACTGTGTCCATCAATAATGAAGATACTTACTCGATGTTTCTATAATATTTGTGCCAAACATTGTCCCTTGTTTCTAATCTCAGTCTAGTAATATTAGATGCTGTTTAATCTACTTAATAATGCTCGGTAATGACTACTATCAAAATGAAGAGAAAGAAAGTGCTCGGCAGGACATTAAAACTCAGAGAAACTCACCTGAAGCCATTCTCGCTCCACCAAGCCCTGGAAACCTCTGATGGTCCTGCAGGCCGGATCAAGGATGATCTGAGCCAAAGAGGTCACCTGCAGGGTAGAGTCGGTCCCTTCTGTACCATGAACGAGTACTGAAGCTCCCTCCCTGAGACAGACATAAATGCTTATAATTTGTCAGTGTATCACCTGCTATTCTAACATAGACTCAATGCTGAATACTGTGATTTTTTTTTATGTAATATGTACAGAGCTGATAAATTCTTAAAATTATTGCTTGCTTGGTATTTACTGGTCCAGGACCAGTATGACAAGCAAATCAAGCTTAGTTCTCTAACCTGTCAATACACTGGGCAGCCAGACAAGCAGTGGTGAGGATCTCCTTGACATGGGTTTGCCAGCTAGAAGCTTCTAGCTTGCTTAACCAGCGATCCATGTTGTGGGACTGGTCGTTACACGCTTCGACCAGCTTAATCAAGCTTTCCTGGAGGACATTAAACCTGGAAGTGACAGATATGTTGCAACACTAAGCCCAAATAGTTAATAAATAATTTCAGTTGTTTAAATTTCAGTTGTAGTAATAAATTAGTGTTGTCACAATACTGGAATTTCTAACTTCAATAAAACATCTTGAAAAATATAGATATTTGATACCACAGGGAAAAACTGAGACCAAGATTGATGGCATAACATTTTACATCTTATTTAAAAGTATAACAAAGCTAAAACATGACAACAAGGTACAACTTTCTTGGCTAGATGCAGAGAACAGCTGAATGATTGTAGATGGGGGCATAATCTTCACAAGGCACCCCCACTGCAAAATACGAAAAATGGAAAATTGTCCCCCCAGTATTTCTCTAGACCAGTCCTCAAATGCCTGCTAAAGCTACAGTGGCCTGCAAAAGTATTCACCCCTTTTCCACATTTTATCACATTACAACCACAAACTTAAATGTATTTTATTGGGATTTTATGTGATAGACCGACACAAAGTATTGCACAATTGTGAAGTGGAAGGAAAATGATATGTGGTGTAAAAATAACAGTGCCTTAAAGAACTCAGCGATAAGGTTGGCTGCTATTTTATGGAACCACTGACGACACACCTTTCAATGGCCTTGTGGATCCTCCTCCACTGCGGGTAGTTAGCCTCAGTCTCAAATCCTCCACCTCGAGCTTTGGCGTGCTGGGCAACACTGATAGTACGTGTGTCAATGATATAACCACGTTTGCCCAGCCGCAGGGTGACATTGATCAGTTTCTCATCTTCCTTACATCGTCGCCCGTTCGTGCCAGTCAGAGGCTGTCCTGCTCGCATCATCACCTGAAATTTATAAGCGATTTGAGGTACAGTACAAGAAGGCATCACACAGTTTAAATTCACATAGAACATCTTGCAGCAGAAACAGAATCAGATAAACTCCATTTCCCAGAGGCTCACCATGCCATTCTTTTTGTGATAGTAGCTAAGTACTGGAAAACGGCCACCGTGACGGAAGGTAGCTACTTTCCTCAATGTGTTGTCATCAATATCTTTGGGCACAGCCACTAGAGGGGGGTATGATGGACACACGCTGAAGTCCTTGTTGACTTCACTCAGTCTCCACTCATCAGTCTGATAAAAATGGAAGATGACAGGTTAAAAATGTACTAAGAAAATGTAAAAGTGAACAATATGTCACTACTTGTGTCTATACCATGGATTCCAAATCTTTAAAGGTATCCTCTGGTAGGAAAGAATGCCAGCCATCTTCTATGACTTCAAACATGGGCCGGTAAAAGAAAGGGTACATCAAGGACACAGAATCAAGTGTGGACAGAGCCTAAAGAGAAATACAAATATTAATGGGTTGTTCACCGTTTAAAAATAGAATGCTTTTTTACAGTCAAGTGAAATCAAATTGTATTTTTACTGCCCAGTATCACAAATTCGCCTCAAGGGCTATACAATCTGTAAAGCATACAACATCCTCTGTCTTTAGACCCGCAAATCGAATAAGGAAAAACTCTCACAAAATAACTTTGATAGAAAAAAAAACTGAAGAAATTGAACAGAGATGGCTGCTTCAGGACAGACAGACATACAATTGTTAGACAGCGACATGTGTCATGAATATTATTTTTACCTCAACAGAGCTGGCAATGTTGAGACACTCCTCCATACCAGGGATGTCAAGCTGGATTACCCTCAGGTCTTTGCATTTGACAATAATGCTTCCTAAAGATCCCACAAATCTAAAAGGCAAGTTGAAATTTTGGTTTAAAAAGTAAGTAAAGTAGTGTGGATGTATGTCACTTCTGCCTCAACTCTGATGTGAAACTCTGTGGGACTGACTCTTGCTGTTCTGTGGGAAATTATTATATTCTCATTCTGCTGCTTTGTTTTTTTCACTTCTCCCTTGTAATTTAGAGAGATTTATTTCAAATGTATGTCCTACTGATCTGCCTAAAATAATTGGTTTAATAAAGAGACCACACAATGTACAATGTTTCCTTTTCATGTGTTGCACATGCACCTAATGAAACAGCATTTTGCCTAAAAACAATTAAGAAAAAAAATGTGTAAAACCTTTACAACTGCTGATAAGAACCTTTTGCCTTCCTACCCTCTGGTCGGAACATGCATAATTGCACATTGACAGTTGACTGCTGCACATGCTGCTCCCATGCAGCATACATTCTCTTATTATATTCTTATATATTTTTATTATATTGCTGCATTTGCTGCTTAAAGTGCCTTAGATTTTGTGTTACTTATTTATCTACATTATATTTCATTAGTATTTTGTGGCATTCATGTGGACGGCAAAGTAAGAATTTCATTGTACAGGGAAACATGTTTCCTAACTGTGCATATGACAAATAAATAAACACTTTGAAGAACTCCATTACCGTTTCTCTATAGAGTCGATGTTTGAATGAAGCAGCCACAGCTCCTCTGTGTTGTCCTGTCTAGAGGAGAGGATAAGGTGGTGACCAGTCAAGCACAGGGTCCCCTCAACAGTCGGCATAAAAGGGCGGTGAAGGACAACCCCATCCACCCTGGGTGTCTTTATCAGTTCTGCAAACTCCATGACTTGACCTGAGAAAAGACAGCAGACAGCTCAGATACCAAGGAAATAACTGATGAGAGACTGAGCTTTTACTAACATATAGAGACAACGCTACATATTAGCTAACGTTACTACTGCGAAGATAAATTGACTCAAGCCATGATATGCTGCTTTTAAAGAAAAACTATCGATGACAAATAATATTAAACCAATAAAAGCTCAGACAACCTGTCAGCTAGCTAAAGTTAGCTCGATTCAGGAAATGAAGTTAGCTAGCAAGCTACCCGTGACAGAAACGGGAACATTAGCCGTACAAATGTTCCGACATTTTAAAATGTACATCAACATGTTAGCATAATACATACTACAAACTTACAAAACAAATTCTTTCGTTATTCGCCAATGCTAAAACGGTTTATCATGCAAACGCTTGTTTACCTTCTCGTTTATTTTGTTGTTGGGCGAAACTGGTACGTTAACAAAAATATACCGACTGGAAACAGCTGACTTGTGAAATTTGGCCCTTCTTCTTTATCTGATGGATTTAAGGCAGATTGTACACTGCGTGGCCTAATGCTGCCCCCACAGACAACATCCTTCTAATATTTTATAGTTTGGATTTTTACAAACAATCCGGTGGAGTGTAAATACTTTAAAATTGATTTTCTAATAAATTGGGAATTGATAGATTTGGCTCAGGACAATCTGAATAACACAGCCTATCGAAATTCTCTGCAAAAAGCTGTACCCCAGTTCAGAAATTATTTGTTGATAAACACTGTTCTATTATACTGTGGGGCTTCACTTTAACATTTGATCTACTGTATAGTAGGACATGCATTCAGCAATGGAAACACTTTGCTATAGAAGCAGTACACTTAACAAACAAAGAATAGATAATTAGTAGCATTAAACAGATATTTTTTATTTATTTTTTAAAAATGAAAACCTACAGATCCCATCAAATGGCACATGCTCTGCTAGCTGTATATGTGAAGGATTTTTTGTAATCGTATCCATCTATCCATCACCTGCTGTATGAAACGTAATAATCTCAAAAGCAACCACTAGGTGGTGACACTGAAACATTTTTGGGGGACTTGTGGTATTAAGAGAATTGCATGGACCCATAATTCAATATCACCTTGATGCCTGAAGGGTACATTCTACATGATCGTGAGAAATAAATTAATGTGTTGTTCATATAAAGGTGTTTGGGTGTTATTTTGATGCTAAACAAACCAGAGATAGTGAGAGGGAGGGTCAATAGGATTCCACCCGATAACAAGCAGTAAAACCAGGTAGATTAAATTTAGCAGAAATGGCAGTCAGGCAGTACATGATTTTACTTTTATTTAACCTTTATTTTACAAGGTGAAGTTCCACTGAGGTTTACAACCTAATTTCCAGAGAAGCCCATTAATAAGTCAGATACATTCAGGCTAGAAACTAGATGGTAAAAATACCAAGGTTACTCACAAAACCTAAAACAAGGATAGAGTAAATTGGCATCTATGTATAGTGTACATACAATGTTACTAAAATTACAAGCAATTACAGAGCAACATAACAAGAAAAAATCTTGGGAGATGGAAGAGGGAAAACAAACCCATCCCTATCTTTCAATGGATGCCTTGGAAGGGAAAATGAGTCTTAAGGAAAAATAACAATTCCAGTAAAACAGTGCATTTTCATATTGTTTCAAGTATAGTGCCAGGTTGGTGAGTGTAAGGGGGATGTCAAAGATGTATGACAGCTTGGGTAGCTTGATCAAACAGAGGGCATGAGTAACTCAAAAGATGGAGGTACATAGATCTTCCAAACAGCCCCGGCAAAAAGAACATCACAGAATCCTGGGAGCAGAGAAAACATGACTTGTGTGAAAAGAAGCCAGTACGGTACACAGCAGGCAGCGGCAGACCAGACATAAGATTTCAGTTTCCTGATGCACATCACAGAGATGGATGGGACTCACTGACTAGGCTAAACCTGAAAGAAGCCTAAGCTGTACTTTTCTGCTTTATAGACACAGTTTGGATAATCAGCGTAAAGAGAAAGCTACAGGCACTCAAAGAATAGAAATAATAACATTCTGAGTCTCGAGTTGACACAGTAGGAAGAAGTTGTTATCTGAAGATTTTGTCTTAGTTCTGGGGATATGCTGAGATCTTAAAGCACACGAAGGAACACACACCAACCTTGAGACTCCCCTAAAGAGGTGAATGCAGTTTGGACAGTGAAGAAGAGCAGATGACTTCATGAAAGCAGTTGTGGGCTTGTTTGTTTTAGACACATCTTTATCAGAGCAGACAGTGTGTGTGTGTGCGTGTGTGTGTGTGTGTGTGTGTGTGTGTGTGTGTGTGTGATCTATTGCAAATCAGTGCAGTATTTGCTTTAGTTGCAGCCTGTCTGGGCTTCACAATAAATGGTTTGCTCTGGGCCCTTCCAGCCCACAGCATAAAGAACACTGACACTGTGGCTCAATTGAATATGAAACTCATGGTACAAACAAATAACTGTCCTTCTTGTGAGGAAAAACACTTTGCCATGACTTTTTTTTTTTAAGAAGATGAGGTGATTAAAAAATAGCTTTCAAATCAAATGAAATACTATAGAGTAACCTAATGTCTATGTTTTATTTAACAACAGACAATCGTGCTGGTGCCAGAGGAGGTGATTTACTTTACCATCTGTGATAAAAGGTTCAGTACTAATATGTTTTCTTTTATGGCAGCAGCTGAATTTTTAAAGTAGTCAACCTAAAAACCCGTTTAGCTTATTGTATCTTAGAGGAATTTAAGGACTAATATTAATAAACCTCTCATGCGCAAGTCTACATTTTCTATTGAAATTGCATTGATAAACTGAGATGAGTAACTACAGCCATCAACTGTAAAACTGTGGTCAAGTTTCCAAATCTGTCTTGAGTGAGCTGAATGCTTACTCCTTGTTTGCATTACATTACAGAAAAGATTTTGACATTTACTGATGAGTTTGTACTCACACCTACACATTTACTCACAGAATCTTCTTCGGGTTGAGACAATGTCTCATCCATGATTCATTCCCTTTCTCTAACCTTCTGTTCTGAATGGTGGCTGCCTGTTTGAATGGTTATTTATGTGATGCTGTTTCATTATTTTTGGGAAGTGAGTCAGAGAAGTTTGTCATGCCAAATAATGATGACTTAAACACTGGTGCAACTCTGTGAGAAACTTAGTGCAGCCTTACTGCCTCTGAAAGTTTGGAGAGACTATTTCATATCTTAACAAGCATAATGAAATGAATGGTAGAATTATGTTTTTGTACATTATCATGTGGAGTTTTCTTTCTTATTTGTTTGAACTGCATTTTATTAATGGTTAGTAAATCATTTCCAGGTGCTTTATAGATCAGTTATAAGACATCAGTAAGAATACCTTTTGGGTTGCCAAATTGTCTTTGCTTATGGTTCACGTTTGGTTTATAAAGGAGATCTCTCCATAGGGCTGCCTGACCACCTATCTCCTAGAAAAGGGCTGCAGGGCATTTGGACCAAAATCCATTTATAAAATGTCCTTGTCAGAAAGTGGTACTGCACAGGGTGCAGAACCAAAACTGAGATCATTTAATGAAGCGTTGTCACAGAAAACAATGCTGGGTTATCTGCTGCATTATAGGCATAGAGGTCTTTTCAGCTGTTGATTGCTAATCGGAAACTTATTTAGTTGCAATATAACTAACTCACCATGAGGTTAAAATCATACAGTGTGTCATTATCTTGCCAGTTTTATGTTATGACTTACTGGAAAACCTACAAGCATGTAAGTAAATGGATTGCATTGCTTGTTATCAACAGTGTAAAATATGTGACATGTTTTTGCGTGGCAGTAGACCTGTGGTATGATCCAAACATCTCACTAAGCCTCAGCTGCAGGAATACTCACACAAAGTGGAACAAAACTTGCACAGACTCATTATTTAGCTTCTGACTGCAACCTGATTAAAGTCACAGCTCTGAAGTACAAAAAATAAAATAGCCTTGCCAACGATGGATCATTAATTCGCTTCACTTGACCATCTTGTTCACCGAATGTTGGATTTATATCTAAAGTATAGCTTGTTAGGGAGCTTCACCCTCCCTCCTGCTCCTGGTTTGAAACACACACATGTCTGGTTTATTTAGTCTTTGCACCCTAACCAGCCTTCATATGCTGATCTCTTTGTCACAAGGCCTCTGAATTAAAAAAAAAACTTTTAAAGTTACCTTGAATCCTCTCCGACTCTCTGTAACACATACACACACTAATTTTAGACCCGTGATTTCTCTTTTGTTTGAAATGACTGCCTGTTTGTTGCTCTGTAAAGCAGTTCATGACAATTTAGCTTAAAAGTGCTTTATAATTTGAGTTGATGTCATCTGATTTGATTGTTTTTATTGCTGTGAGGCCTTTGCTGCATTAAACTGCCTCCCATCTCCTGTGAAAATTAGAACTGAATGTGCATCTAGCATGCCGCTAAAAAAGGCTTTGTGGAGGCCTAACAACCCCGAGGAAAAAAGAGAAAATGAAAGCAACTCAGACAAAATGGGCTTTATGATGTGCCAGTCCCTTGCACACAACCATACTCTCTTGTGTGTATTCGATCATATTTAAAGTTTTTTCCCCCCCTCTCCCAGTTATCTGGCCTGGAGGAATGGCTGTGGCCTGATTCTTTTCATTCAGCATCACTGTGACTTTCCAAGCTGTTCTGAAACAAAGCTTTTCCCTCTGCAACCGCTGACCAACCTTCACAGGTAAAGGCGTAACAACTGACCATGACAAGAGCTACGCAAACTGAAACTTGTGAGTCTGACATGGTGTATTTGCATCCAGTCATTCAGGGACACAACACTGCAGTATTTCTGTCATTACATAATGGCTAAAAAGAACTAGATGGCACAAAGCCTTGCAATATCTTTAGATGCATTAGATTTGCTGCAGAAATAATTATACACAGGAGTGTTTTTAAAATTTCTTTATAGTTACTAGAAGAAAATACATAGGCAGAAAAAAACTGGCCAAATGAAGCTGAAACAATTAAACAAATGAATGTAGGAAAGTTCAAATGTTTTTATAAACAATCTATAGCAAAGGCCAGATATCAAATTCTTTACCCAGGAGAACTGGCTTGGAGGGGTAATATATATTTAAACTATATGAAGTAACTTGTACTTTCATGTAGGATCAATATAAACTCACATGTGGATCGAACTTCATGAGATTATTTGACTTGATGAGGCTCCACACAGGTTAACAATAGAATCACAATATAGTAAAGTGAACATAATTAAACCCAAGCAAAACGGTTGTAGGTGGGAGTAGAAGCTGATACCGTTACTCTAGCAAAGGTCAGATGTGCTGTAGATGGAGTGACCTTGTTACGCTGGATTGATTGGGCAGAGTGGTGTGTGTTGTACGTGTACATCTATCATAGTGAGGACAAACTGAAGACTGAAATAAAAAGTACTTAATGCAGAAACCCCAGCCAAGGAAAAGGGATGCTTGGTGTACAGTTTACATACTGATGAATGCTCATACATGTTTTGAAATAATATACCTTTTGCTTACAAATCATCTACAGGTTGAAATGAAGTATCTTTGAATTGTGCTGATGGGATTTAGACCTTAAGCGTGAAGATGTTTTTGTTTTGTTTTTTGGCTCAGTTCTTATTCAAAGTGCTGTTTGGCAGTTTGATAGAGTTAAGAATAAAAGTAGGATTAGATTGTACATTTGTCAGTGAGCCCTCAGAGAGACAGAAGGTTGCCTCAGGTCCAGCACTACTCTAGCATTGGACAGTTCCCATCAAATCTGCCGTCCAAACTGGCAGAGCAGGCGCTGTGCAGGTGAAGCGGACATGATCCAATCAATCTCACACTGGATATGACCCGGCATGACAGCTCTGTGGGTGCAGTCTAATCACAGTGTTATCGAGCCTGCAGCAGACTCACCAGCTCACACATGCTACAGAGGGGAACGCCTCACTTTTCAGCAAGTGCTTAACCCCCTCGACTCCTACTGAGAAAAATACCTCAGCATTAGTAACCACTCTAGAGACCTATAGCTTTACCTATAGCTCATTTTTGTCTTCTCCCAGGGGCTATGGTGAGCAGGAGTTACCTATATCTTGCACTGTTGTCAAGTTATATGTTTGTGAACTTGTGGTACAGTATCATTGTTTACTGAGTCAAATAGATCGAAATTACTATACTAGTATACTATACTGTACATACCCAGTGCTGATGACATAATTTATGATACACAATAACATAAATGAAAGCATTTTACACTTATACCAGGAGATAAAATACTAATAAGCACAGCAAGGTCATAATGAAGTCTTTACTGAGCAATGCTGCAGGATGCTGTTTTAGTTTGTAGGAGAGTATTTGTTCCTAATTCCTTGCCCCCAAAATGACTGCACAGTGTAACTAATTCAAATATTCAAACAACAGGAAAGACCTCCTTTGGTGCTGTTACATTACATCATGCAGTCCTATCCTGCATAATTGGGGGGCTTCAAAAGAGACACTAGATGGCAACCACGTTTAGAGGGAGAGACGGTGACCGAGTGAGTGAGTGAGTGAGTGTGAAAGAGGAGGGAGAGAGAGGCTGTGGAGTGAAGAGGTGGGGGGATGAATTACGTCGGCGTGGGACAGTGGAGGGACGGACTGCTCATGGCACTCAGGTTGCAGCTGGAGGAGAGCTGCAGAGAGGGGAAGCAACTGAACAGCGGAGAAGGAGATTAACAGCCATCTTAAAAATTGGTCGGCTACAGTTGGATGTACGAGTTATAAATTATTCAGTCTGAACTTTGTAGACTAGATTATTCTTGCCAGGCGTGAATAAATCTGCACTGAAGGGAAAGCGAGAAAAGATGTGGTGCGCCCGTTGCGCCACTGGTGCGCTATATGGGGACAGAGTGAGCGACGGTGACGCGCTGACACCCCGATATTAGATGGCTCCAACATTTGGGGTGCAAAACAGGTGTCAGGGAAGTGTCGTCACGAACCCCGGAAGCCGGAGGAGGTGGGAACATCAGAGGGAAAGATGGCAGCGAAATCCGATGGTCGCGGGGTCGTCACCGGTTTCGCCCAGCTGCACAACCTGGACGAGGTGGTGGGGACGGGAGAGGACGACACTCGGAACGGTAGCTCATTCCACATCTGCCACTGCTGCAACACCTCGTCGTGCTACTGGGGCTGCCGGAGCGCCTGCCTGCATTACCTCCGGGGAAAGGGGAAGGAAAAGGAGAGAGACGTGGCGCGGCCACAGGAGGAGCGCCTCTGGTTGGACTGCCTGTGGATCATTTTGGCACTGCCCTGTGGTCAGGCCTGACCCTGTTCTTCGTGCTAGTGCCCTCTGTTCTGGTCCAGATCTTGAGCTTCAGGTGGTTTGTGCAGGATTACACCGGGGGCGGACTGGGCTCCGTGGAGGGGCTGAGTAGTCGTAGAGCTACAGCCAGTCTGCAAAGAGACAGGTGCTGCCGCCTCTCTGTCTGGGTCTGGCAGACCGTGATACACATCTTTCAGATGGGACAAGTGTGGAGGTAAGACAAACTAGAAGTTTAGCCTTTAAAAGAAACAGTTAACCCCCCAAAGCACAATGTTTTTAGCCCCCCTTACTCCATCCAGCCACTCAGCCTTCTAACCTCCTCTTGACTGTCACCTGGTATAACCCGTTGTGTACATGACTGGAGTGAAAATCAGTACCCTGGTGATACCATTATGCTCGCCTCACAGTCTGCACTATCAGGTATCACACATGCCTGTATTAGCATTTTCAGTTTGTATATATGGGCTATGTGCATCCAGTTATATTTAAGCGGTTTGCACAAATGCCTTGATCTGACCAGATGTGTGCAGACAACTACCACAGCTGCACAGAAATTGCACCGCTGTGATTATTTCATTACAGTGCGCCATTGCGCTTGTGTGGGGAGGGAAGAGGGCTATTTGATCAAAGAGAGACAGGTAGTATCCGAAAGCTTGTGTGTGTGTGTGTGTGTGTGTGTGTGTGTGTCTGAGTGTGTGTCAGATGCACTCTTCACATCACAGTGCACACTGTCGCCTCTATTCACCTGCTCTCGCTTCGCGCATCAAATACTCCAACTCTGCAACCAGAGGCCAGACGAGCATCTGTTTTCACGGCTCACAAAACTACATCTTCCCCCACAGACATGATGTCATCGATTTCTCTGCGACGCTCGACATCTTTGGTCCCCAAATCCGCTTTTTGGCCATACAAATTGATGCCTCAGGCGATCGCGGGGAGGTGCACAACTCTGTGCGTAATCTTTGACATATAGCGACTACAGTAGTAGTTAAATGTGACACTGGTGCGCGCAGCTTATCTGCTCCTTTTAGACGGTTCAGTCGGTGCTTCTGTGCAGCGCGTTGTTTTTGGTGCAGACAGACGCAGTGGCTGGCATTTAATGGAAAAAAGTAACGCACGACGGCTGCCTTGAGAGGGCTGCCAGCGGCTGAAAAAATGTAAAGCAGCACACTGCGAGAATCTGTGGAAGGGGTCATATCATTTCACCCTGACTTTTAGGTGTTCACTAGATATTTGTAGTGTTTTGTGCGTCAGACACAGAGACTTAGCGATTCTGCTACAGTATTTGCGTTTACTCCACATCTGACCAACAGATTTTATAAACCATGATTGTTTTGTAGTTTAATGTATGAGGACATGGATGGATGGATGGATGGATGGATGGATGGATGGATGAGGACATTTGTGCTACAAGCCAAATTACTCATGCTGAGGCTAAGAGTAACATCTGAACTGGAACTCACTAACCATTTATGAAAAATAATGACACAAGTTCTAATACTTTCTCATCCAGTTTCACCTATTTTCACTCCCAATTTAATCTAAAAATAAGCCTCATGTCATTTGGATGTGCTTGAAAAGAACATGTCGACTCCTTTTGCTCATGTTAAATGTAGTGAATACCGGTGCATCCCCTGTCCAGATGGGGTTTCTTTGAACGAGACAATCCAGTCGCTCTTCATTGCGCTCATTCTGAGCTCTACCTGAATGCTGTCATATTGATTAGCTGCAGTTGTATCGGCCCAGGTTTATTTACTTCAGTGTGGTTCGGTTGATTAGTTTGCTCATG